GTCCTTATCTCCATGGAAACTCAGCGTCCTTTAGTTTTGGGAGGGGTTCTTCTTTTTTCTGGCTCATCGTTTACTTTAAATTGGGATAAATGATCTCCTGTCAATCTTAGGACCTAAACTGCTCCAGACATGCACTCGATGTGTGATGATGTCTTCTCTTACCCTCTTCTTCTCCTCTCTCTCCTTCAGTAATGTCTCCTTGTCCACTAGCTTCACCACAGTGGGCAGGCCTGCAACACAACCACTTTATTTCCCAACACTCTTCACTTTGTAAGAATGAGATCAGAACTTTTTTACATTCTTACGAAGAGAGTAAAGGCTCAGATTTATTGAGCAGGGCATCTTAATGCGCTGCAGTTATAAAGATGTGACGAATGGAGCGGATAATGATTTCGTGACACAGACGTAGCCAGTTTATCCCAGTAATAACTAACCCAGTCCACAGACAGCTGCGCAAAGGAGGCAGACCTGATGAGGAAGATCAAAACCTGAGCCGATTCTTTATCTCTATAACTTCACACACAGACATCTTACCTTCGTGATCTTCCAGACGTACTCCGAGCTCTGGCAACATGTCGTCACGGACAACATCGCAGAGCTGCAGCAGCTCCGTCACTGAGTACGTAAGAAAAGAAAAGAAGAAGAATTTCATGTTTCAGTTCTCTCTGATTCAACATGGAGGTGATGTTTGGAGTTATAAAGTAAATAGTTTTGTTTAACGTGCGTGTTCTTACCTTTCTGCTCTCGAGCAATTTTGCGGACGCGCTCTCTAAAATCTGACAGCACTGTGAGGTATGGCATCACTGTGCTCTCCAGCTGTGGACAATTAAGGGGGATTTTTCATATGTAGTACATTTCTCCTAATAATAATGCCACAAGAGACAGAAATCAATCACAAAAAGTGAAAACCAGTTCACTTACATCAACACTCTGACTTTGTCCACCCATGGGGAAACCTATTGGGTCCGATCCTTCAACTGCACCAAATATCTAGACAATAAAAGTTTCATTTGAATGTTTGTTAGGCATCTCCTTTACTTTACACTACGCATTACAATGATTATACAGTTCAAGGCTCTTGGAAAAAATAAAGGTAACAACTGAACCTATAATAACGCAAATTCACATCGACGACCATGTGTTCATTGACACACAAAAATCAAACAGCAGCTTCTTGTCTGAAAACTAATTTTTACAGTGTGATGGTGCAGCTTAGACTGAATACAGCAGCGTAGGCAACTCCAGGCCTCGAGGGCCGGTGTCCTGCAGGTTTTAGATCTCACCCTGGGTCAACACACCTGAATCACATGATTAGATCACTCTGGTCACCTCTGGTAGATCACCTCTGGTAGATCACCTCTGGTAGATCACCTCTGGTAGATCACCTCTGGTAGATCACCTCTGGTAGATCACCTCTGGT